ATTATTAGCAAACTTTAGTATAGTCGAATTTTTTTTACTTCAGCAACTTCTAAATTTCAGCGTCTGTGACAATATTTGTTGTTAGCAGGATATAAAATAGTTAACAAGATGTATAAACCTAATTTCCTCAGTTTTCTTTTAAATTTTGAATTAGGATAAAGATAGAATAAAAAGCTTCTTTTGTTTCGACTATGCAAGCAGCAGGTTTTCACTAATAGTAAATATAAAAATAATCTTGTTGATTCAATTAAGTTGATTTCATTAATTATAAGCAAGTATTATTTAGAGTCCATTCCACTTGTAACTCTAGAAATTCGGAATTTTCTATACTATTAGCATCATAGATGATATGTCGGCTTCTGTAAACTGCATCAGGGTGCATAAATGATTTACGAGAAGTTGTATTAACTATTGTTTCCCTATTTCTCATTATTTCGGACTCTTTAAATTTGGATAGAACCTCTTCGCAATTTATCCAGCCTTGAATAAGTTCATAGATTTCTGAAGCTGATGGACATTTCTCTGGATCATCATCCCAGCACCTTTTCGTAAGATCAATATAACATTGTACTGTTCCCTCAACAACAATTGGCCTTGTTCCATTAAGAATATTTAAAATAAGATTGTGATCGTGCCTTTTATCTGAAAATGCTAATATTCCAGAAGATATTTCCCACATTATTATTCCAAGTGAATAGACATCAACTGCCAGAGAATATGGACCTTTACGTATAATTTCTGGCGCTATATATGGAATAATACCATAAATTCCATCTGATTTTATCAATGCTTGATTAATTGTTTCTGCAAGTCCTAAATCTCAATATACGCACTATATAGATCATTTTGCAATATGTTTCCGCTGTGCAAGTCACGATGAATAATATTATGAGCGTGAATTATTTGAAGATCTCGTGCGATATTAGATAATAAATTTAATTTTTCTTTCCATTCCATTTTTGCAATTAATTGAATGTTTTGACGCAAAGAACCTTTATAAGCATATTGCATAACTAATATATAATTATTAGTGGCATCCTCATCTTTTGATATTCCATAACATCGTAAAAATGTTGGATTCTTACTTCCAATATCATAATATACCTTAAGCTATAACACAATTAATGTTAGATGTAATTAAATAAAATAAAACTATAATTATTAACTTATTAATTCTGTACCTCTCTTAACAATTCCACATAATTACTTTCCAGTCCTCGAAGTAATTTAAGTGCTACAGGTCTCACTGAACTACCTGTACGCCATCTAGCAGAGTATACTGTTGCAAATCCTCCTTCCCCGATATTTTTTATGATGTCGAGTTCACTAAAAGGAATCCATAATAAAGAATATTTATTTTCTTCTAGGACTGTCTTTAGAAACTCATCAATATCAGAATTTCCACTTCCGCAAGCATCTTGCTTGTGACTATTGTCCTTTGACATTCGCAACCATTCAACGACTTTTTCTTGATTTTGAGGTGTTCCGTAACCGTTTCGATAACAAATTCCGACATTTAGCTGTCCATCAGAATATCCACCTTCAGCTGATTTTAAATACCACCAAAATGCCTTCTTTTCATCTATTAAAGTACCATACCATTTTGATAACAATTTCCCAAGTTGAATTGTCCTTTAGCATCTCCGCCTTCGGCTGATTTTAAATACCATTCAAATGCTTCATTTTCATCTTCAGAAACACCTATTCCCTTAGTATAACAGTTTCCAACACTATATTGTGCTTGGGAAACACCACTTTTTGCTGATTTTAAATACCATTCAAATGCTTTCTCTTCATCTTTAGATATGCCTTTTCCATATCGGTAACAATTTCCAAGATCCAATCCTGCATTAGGATTTCCACCTTTAGCAGACTTTAAATACCATTCAAATGACTTTTTCTCATCTTTAGAAATGCCTATGCCATTGTCATAACAAATTCCAATATTTAATTGCCCTTTAGAATTTCCGCTTTCAGCTGATTTCAAATACCAATCAAATGCTTATTTTTCATCTTTAGAAATACCTATGCCATTTTCGTAATAATAACCAATATTGTATTGTCCGTTATGATTTCCACCTTCGGCTGATTTCATATACCATTCAAATGCTTTCTTTTCATCTTTAGAAATACCTATACCATTTTGGTAATAATATCCAACATTATATTGACCATTAGAGTTTCCACCTTCGGCTGATTTCAAATACCATTCAAGTGCTTTCTTTTCATCTTTAGAAATACCTATACCATTTTGGTAATAATCTCCAACATTATATTGACCATAAGAATTTCCACCTTCGGCTGATTTTAAATACCACTCAAATGCCTTCTTGTCATCTTCAGATATACCTATACCGTTTTGATAACAATATCCAAGATTTAATTGTCCTCTAGAATTTCCTTTTTCAGCTGATTTTAAATACCACACAAATGCCTTTTTTTCATCTTTAACAACGCCTATACCATTTTTATAACAATATCCAACATTGAATTGCCCAGATGAGTTTCCACCTTCAGCTGATTTTGAATACCATTCAAACGCTTTTTTTTCATCTTTCGAAACACCTAAACCTTTCTGATAGCAGACTCCGACACGGTTTTGTGCATTTAAGTCACCATTTTCAGCAGATTTCAAATCTTGCTCAAATGACATTTTTGCTTGAATATTGATTATACTACTGACTTAAAATTTACGTACGTATAATTTTAGAATTGGTTACATTTTATGTTACATTGTAACTTAAATTTTGAAATTTGGTTTTTATTTTAACAAAATTCGTTGCAGCGATTAGAGTTTCTGGTGAAACTAAATAATGCTAGTGAAATTGGTGACTATCTAAAACCTGATTGGCTGTTATATTAAATTTCACCAGTCTCACCACCATTCATCAAGAGTTTCACCAGTTTCACCAGAAACTCTAGTTATAAAAATCCCTATTAGGTTTCCTCGTAGAACGTCAATTAAACGATCAAGATTAAAGGTCAAGGTTATGTAGTCAGACCTCGTTATAGTTGCACTTGATATAGTCATATTATTATAAAAACATATAAAATTTTGACCTTTATATAGCCAATTTTTTATAATCACCACATGTACGGTCAGGGTATTTTTGCTAAACACCCCATGATCTTGATATAGTGATCAGGATATTTTATCAGAAAAGTAGAGGTTATATTGCTTTTCTGCAACTCTAATTATTAAATAAGGTTCAACCAATTAGAGTTGCAGATTTTAGATAAAATTTGTAAAAAATTATATAATAGAACTAATATAACCTCTATTGGTATTATATTATATCAAGATCTGACTGTATATAATTTCAAGTAGATCTGCTGGTGAACCTAAATAATGTCGGTGAAACTGGTGAATATCTAAAATATGATTAGATCATAGGATAATATTTATTAAAATATTATCATAATTGATTTAGCGTTAGTAAGCCAATAAACACATTATTCTAAAAATATATGTTAATTACCGTAACCTTCCACTAATGCAATTGCACCAGAAAACCTTGTAGATTTTATTTTTAATGCTCTTCCCGAAGATTATAACTCTGATTATTTATTTGAATCCAGGACGCAAAAGTAAAATATTATTGAGAAAAACATAATTAATTCAAATAGTAACAAATGCTCGATAGTATTAATAAAAACTTTGTTCCATTGCATAAATTGGAGTATTATAATCATTTTAAAAGGCAATGGAATACTCCAAATATTTAGAAAAACTGGAATCATAATACTGTATTTTCTGGCTGTAATAAAATATTACGTTTATTGGGTTATTCGAAATAAATAAAATGATTAATTTGAATAAAGGTGTTCTCAAGCACTTCAAATATATCGGAGGCAAATTTTAATTAGCCGAAAATTGAATAAACCAAACGAGTTACCATTTTGATGAATAAATCTGGAGATGTAGACCATCTTTTTTTTTTATAGTTGGCCGATGACCTTAAATAAACTATATGACTTTTATGACCTGCCATAGGTCATTTTATCATAGCGAAGAATGATATGATTTCATGACCTTTGAATATAGTAATAATAGTAAAATTTTCTGTTAGCATTTAATCTAACCAACAATGGGAAGTTTATTATTATTACATGACCAAGGTAAAAAAGTTATTGCTTAGACCATTGACCAATAAAGCAATTTCAACGATTCAAGGCTCATGTAAGCTCCGAGGCCAGGCTCGAATAATATTAGAGATGGGCAAGGTAATAAATAAGTAATAAATACTTATTTAGGGATGGATAGCTTAGCTTAGCTCAAAGAAGTCATAGCCAAGCTATAAATAAGCCATGGTTTTAAGCTATTGGCTATAATTAAAACTAAAACCAACAACTATTGCTTATAACTTTAAGTAATTTTTAAATTTTGGTTTAAGCTATAACTTTAGGCTATTAGCTTGGCTTGATTTCAGCTTAGCTTCAAATTGTAGCTAAAGCTGGCTTCAAGTAAAGCCAATAACATCCCTATACTTGTTTTTGTTACCCTTATGTATTCTTACGTATCAATACCTGATGCTTATTATTATGAACGATTATTACTTATTACGATATAACTTTAAAATTCGATCAGGCTTGTTTTGAAAATACCACTTATTATTACCATTACGTAAAAAAATTTGGCGATAATATTTCTTAATGATAAGTAATAATGCGTATTGCCCACTTGTGAATTGTGAAAATTGCCCACTTGTGAATTGTTACTAATGCTAACTTAGCTCCTAATCCTAACGAAAAATTTTCGGAGGTTGTCACGTGCTCGGAAAATTAATGGATTAAAAAGATTCGTCAGACGTATTCTATTACGTATGTACGTACGTAAGCATCATTTACAGTTATAAATAAGTGCCGCCAAATTAAAACCTGAAACAGAACTTAGAAATTTACCGTGATTATTTACTGGTTTTAATTATTTGACGATACTCAAATAGTGAGTAAAACTCGTTGAACATTACCGTTACCGTTACATTTACAATTCTGAAATAATGTCTTCTTATTTTGGTATATGTCCAATATCGATAAGTTTATCATTGTTTCTATTTTCTCTCACAACGATTCTTATATATTCAATTCTTTCAAATGCAGATGAAAAAGGATTGCCTGACCCAACATTTCAGAAAAAATCTACTTCATCCAACAATAACAATTTAAATCCAGACGTCACCAATTTTTTTGGTACAAGTAGTTCCGGTTCGTCAAATAATTTAGGTGATGAAAGCGCATACGATACTTTAGAAGAATACATTAATTTGGCAAAGTACGATATTTTATTATTTTTTTGTTCGAAGAAACGTTATCTCTTCTTATTTACGCACAAATTGTCTTTTATAAGTCTTTTCGGCACACTAAGAGATAGGTCAAATAGTAGAACTAATGATAGTAATCAAGAATTCTTGGATAATTTGATTTCACAATTATTGGAAGAAGCCAATGCAAGGTAATAATCAGACACTTACCATATCATATCATATTTAGAGACTTATGTGTGATTAAATCAATAATAATAGTTCAAGGGGACCCCCACCGGCTAGCAAAAAATTTATTCAAAGTCTACCTATTGTTAAAAAGTCGGAAATCAAGTCCGGTATAAAACTATCCAAATTCGATTATAGCTGTTATTTAAATCAAAAAAAAAAAAAATGCTGATTTATCTGGTTTTTTTTTTTTAAATAAAAAAAAAAGACGATACGTGTCCAATATGTGCAGAAAAATTTTTATCAAATTCGATTCCAAATAATGTCGTAACTTGTATGCCATGTAAACATATGTTTGATAAAGAATGTATTTTACCCTGGTTGAAGCTTGTAAGTCATACTTCTAATATATCTCATTCAATAAGTTTCACTTTCAATTTTTCAATTTTTATATTTAATGGTTTCGATTTTTGTAAAAAGCATAACACATGTCCAAGTTGCCGTCATGAAGTAGATTCCGATGATCCGGCTTGGAGAAAAAAGCAATTGGAGTTACAAAGAGCTCAAGACTCTGAAGAAGAAGATCAGGATTGGATGTACGGTTAACTTGTATGGTTATTTAGCATTCATAAAAATACGGTCTTGGAAATTTAGTTTACATATCTTAGTAAGAGTTATTTTATTATGTTTTTTTTTTTGTTATTTTGTAGGTATTGTTTGTACGTTTACTATAAAAATCACTCATAACTACTATTTCATAATTCTTATTTGGAATAATAATATAATATAATGTTTTCAATCACGGCTAATTCTAGAAATCAATAATTATCTATGGTTCATATCAGTCACTAAAACAAATTAGAATTATTTTTATTAGTGAGAATTGTTGAGCTGGGCGATAATATACTGTCAATTCTAAGTGCACTGTAACGCGATAGAATTCGTCTTAGAGAGTAAAAATACATGCAAATGTATGACTATTAAATATACTTGGGATAAAGACAATGGTTTGTGTTTGGTATCAAGAGTTGTACTTAGAAAGTGAATTGTGCGTATATATAGCCCTAGAAAAAATAATGATAACCAGAATTTCTACAAAACTTCTCATTTAAACATTATGATAACATACTGTATGTATTTTGTTTAAAAAAATTAGAGCATAACATTTCTTAGAGTTTATAATTTTTTTATTTATTTAAAGTTAAAAAGTATAAATAGTAATTATTAAATATTTTGAAATACATAAATTACAAAGTTTGAATATTTTTTTCTTTTCGGCAGTTCTGTTTTTTCTTTTATTTAAGACTTAACACCTGCTATGTATAGGCTTTCAAATACCCATTTGGGTTCCGGTCACTTAATACATAGATAATTATATTTGTCAATTGCAAAAATGTCATCATACTTACGTTTGATATTTTCCTGTCAAAGGATCTTCAACTTACTGAGGATTTATATTCTTGAGGGTAACAGATGGCATTTAGTAGCTTTGTCAAGATGTCTACTTTACAATAAGTTATTATCAATCTGATAATATTTTCTTATAAAGAAAAAAATAGGTAATAAGAAAAGTAAAAATAGAGATTTATAAACAATTCATTAAAGAAAACAAGAACTAATATTAAGTTTAAAAAAACTATATATATATATAAGGTAAAGGAGGGTATTATGACGCAGTTAACATTTTCTATAAGATTATTTTATAAAGTTAATTTATAATTTGCAAAATTTTAATATATTTCTATTTTAAAGGTTTCAAACAAAATATTTTTATTGACCTCTAGGGTCGATAGCATAGTGATTATGTTCTGAGGTCATGAATCGCAAGGTTGCCAGTTCAAATCCTAGTGATAGCAATTGTAAAGATACATTTCCAAAATAAGAAACTGCAACACTGTGGAACCAGGAACCCAGGATGTCCAACAGACAGACTTATTTCTAGAAATGGCAAGTGACCTGCAGTTGAAAAGTCATATGATGATGAATATGAGTTAGAGCTTAATTCAGAATAACCGAAGTTATGAGACATAATGTGAGATCGAAAGTCTGACAAGAGATACTACATGAACTCATGATGATAATCAGTTCTAGACTAAACTTGGTGAAACCTTCTGATACCAGCAGGAATCAGTGTGACAAATTACTTCTAAAAAGTTTAAAAACACAGACTGGAAGAGGTTAAGGTTCAGTAACTGAAGACATTTGAGAACATTAGTTCAAGAATATAGGAGTATAAACAACCTTAACAAGATCATTAAAGAGTAAAAAAAAAAAAAAAATTTATAATAAATAAAAATTTTTTAAAAAAACTAGTGATCTTTGGTGATGGATTAAAAATGATACATGATTAATACAATGCATATCTAATAATTTGGTTGGCTGGTAGAAAGGATCAGTAAAAATTTTCATATACAATATATACAGTATGTAGTATACAGTACATACAATACATACAGTATGTAGCATACAATATGTATAGTACTGTATGATCTAAATTTATTTTTAATTAACTTAATCTCTTTTTTTTTTTTTTGTTAATCATTGTTTTTCTTTTTTTGCTTCTTCTTTTTGTGTCTTTTTAGTTTTCTGTTCTAACTGTTTTTAAGTTGTGATTTCTTTTTTACATTTTATTTTATTGATCTTTTCTTCAACAGCTTTTTTTGTGTCTTTCAATAATTTTAATGATGCTTCATTGATAAGAAGTTAAGAAAAAGACATAGTCTTTCGCTTCTTCTTTCTTGGTAATTGGGACTTGAGTTGATCTTTAGTACAGATCTCTGAATCTTTGACCAAATTCAAACAAGGCAAAGGATACTTAAGAATCATTCATAAAGGTAATGTACTAGGGTTTTTTAAGGTCTTCAATTCTTCTTTTGTCACTTTCAACTCAGCTTCTAATTTTTTGATTCTTGTATTGAGACTTGTGATTTCAGATCTTAATGTAATACAAGAATGTATATAATTTGAACATGATTTTGGAAAAGATTGTAAAGACAATGCTATAATTGTGAAAGATGTTGAAATTAATTATGTCATAAAGATTTCAGGCTGCTCAATAATTAATGAAGAATCAAGATGAACAGGGTTAATTGTACTGAGATTAAAGAGCCATATCCCAGTCACCTTAAAAGCATTACAAATTGCCAATAGTATATAGGTTTTAATGTATGTTAGACTAAAGACCTTGGAGAATATATACTTAGTAACAAATTCTCTGTTATTACTGATATGAAGTTGCTCACAGCCTTTGTTGTATGCTTGTTTAAGCTATGCAAAAGGAATTTCAGATGGTTGAAGTATATGGATAGTATGGGGTGAGAATGTATATAAAAGGATATTATTATTATAGCAAATGTTAATATTGATATAGCTAATATGACTTTTATGCCCATCAAGAATCAGAAGAACAGAATGAGCAGACAGAATTGAGCAAATAAAATGCTTAATATACTTTTGAAACAAAGACTCTTGCATATATTCTGTTTTCATAAATTCCATAACAAAACTAGAGGGGGCATCATCTAAAAGACCTAAAATCATATGCTTTTTTTTATAAATAATGAGTGTGGGATGTATGTTCTGGTAGCAAAGATGGTTGGATACACAGAAATATGCTCATTAGAATTTCCATAAGAAACTTAATGAACCTGTTATTAGGATGGTAATTAGAAGAAAATTAATACTTAATTTTGATTTTTATTTTATTTTAAATACTAATAAATAAATTTATTATTATCTGGTGTGCATTCTTTTTCACAATAACTTTACAAAGTTTGGAATTGAGAATGAAATCTGTTTCATTCATGTTCCAGATTTTATTGACAGTAAACAAATATTTTTTAATAATTTTCTTAAGCTTTCTAAAATGATCTTGCATTATAATAGAATTTGCCTTTTGTGCTTATGTTTCATTCAAGGCCTGAGGAGCATAAAATAAAAGCTCAGAATGGTTTCTTATGAAACATGCCCATCATGACTTGCCTGGCCTATTCTTATTAAAAGGATATTGTCTTTTATTATTATTGACAATTTTCATGATACAATAATTCACATCTGAACTTGTTAGTCCAAAGCCAAGTTTTTGCATATTTAGACAATAACTAACTAGTTGTTGTTTTTTATATTTAGTTAAAACATTGGCAGAACCTAGATGATCTAAATGGCTCTGATTTTTTATAGCACATCTTAGGGTTGCTTTAGAAATGCCAATTTTTTTTGCTATTATTCTTTTAGAATTAGTTGGAAAATTCTTAAGCTCTTTAAAAGCATTTTTAATAACTTGGTTTCACTTAGATTGATCACCAGATAAAGACATACTAATTTACTTTTAGATTTATTTTAAGACTGATTTAAAGTTAATTTATTTAATACAGTTTTAAGAAGAATTGAACTTATTAAAGTATAAATTAAGGCAAGTACATCTATTTATTTTTTTTTATTTTTTTTTTTTTTAAACTTAAGCAGTCATACTAGTACTTTATTAAGATTCTTGGAATTACTTTTGCAATTACATAGATT